GGGGGAGGGGGTGTGTTAACATGTTTTTATTGTTATTATTATTATTATTATTATTACTATTATTATTATTATTATTATTTATGTTGTTTATTTATGAATGTGGAGCGCTAACTTGTTTTCTAATGTGGAGTATTATATTATTATTGAAATTGAGAATTGGGCATAATGTGGAATTGTGGGATGGGTTCATGGTTATTTTAATTGGGACCATGTGGGTTGATTTTATCTCTATTTCTGATTTGTTTAATGTTATTTTTATTTTATTTTATTTTGTTTAATGTTTTTTTTTTTTTTAGTTTAATGTGTGGTGTCTTGTTGCATGATTATTAGTTATTATAATTTATTTTTATACATAATTGTGTCATAATTTGGTAAAATATCACACATACATATATTTTTATTTTTTGTACAATGGCTCGTCTCGCTTTCATAAGGCGGGCGCCTCGCTGCACGCCTCACGCCATGGCAAATAGGAGCCTTGTCGCCTCGGCTCGCCGCGCGCTATTTTAATCACTGGTATAACTTGTAATTGAGAAACCTCAAACAGTTTCTAAGAAACTGTTTCGATTCTGTGGCCATTAAATCCTTGTGTTTATTATATATGAAAATTAGTTCTAGTTGGATGCTAGTACTTTGAAAGGACATAGTATAGCTTTTCTAGCAATATTTACTGGCCCATTATTTATGTTTTGGAGAAACACCGACATTATAGTTATCTCCTCATTCTTTCTCACTTAATAAAAGCTTCTCCAATGACATGAACAAATTAGAAAATACAAAAAATAATCACTGCCCATGTAACTTTCTTCATATTATGATTCCGGGACTCTTCGATTAACTTCAGTGATACTGTTTTCTATTGTAAATTTTCACGAATTATCTTATAGCTTCCCTTTTAAGCCGAATGTATATTACCTTGTTGTTTGATACCACTTTCATAAACTAAACATTATCTTATTTTCCAATTTACTTGAGTGAAATTTTCCATCCAGGGTCTCCAAAGGAGTGAGAGACCTACCTGGAAATTTGCAGTCGGCCACAAGTGGCATCCCGTCTGGAAAATCACTCATGTATTTTGGCTTGCTGCTGGCAAGTGGAGTTTTCTTTGTATTTATAGCATTCTCGTTGTTTCTTCCGGTGATTGTGCTTGTACCTCAGAAATTCGCCCTCTGCTTTACTGCTGGATGTGCCTTCATCATCGGGTCCTTTTTTGCCCTTAGAGGACCAAAGAATCAGTTTAGCCACATGTCATCAAAGGAGGT